GAATATTGTACTAGTATGACCGTGAGGCTGTACGGTTGGTTAAGTAAGGTTATACATTTATTTTGGGTGATAAATAGATACTTAGTTGGGTTTATAATGGCTTAAAGAGGATAATCTGAAGATTTTTTTGTCTTTAATGTACTACCGTTTTATAATGTATGAAAATCTCTATATTTATCTAGGGTTGGATTTAGAATCGTTTGGCAGGAATTTGGGGGAGTAAGGTGTTTTATTTGATAGAGGTTTGGTCCCCGATTATAATAATACCACTCACATTAAAAGGTAATGCACTGTTATCGAATAAATAAATAAAAACTATTATAACCTAAAACGCGTAAAACATGGAAAAACGTATGCAATATTACTGTGAAAGCTGGATAGCACAAAGAATTTTGTGTAAGTGTTACAAGGACGTGAGACTAGTGTCGCATTATTCTACTGTCTATACTCTCTGTCAAGTGTCAAATAAGAAATGATTATAATATTATAATGTTTTATTTCAGAATTGTTTAAAACTGCCCAGAAATACTTGAACACCCATATATACTTTCAGTTGTAATGGGTTATAAGTATGTGGCGGGAGCGAAGGCAACCTGGCTTTATAGATAAGATATCTGATCTGATCGAATCGTACTAAAATTGAATTAGCACGCCCCGACTCCACGTAGTCTTGTCTGCCCTACTCCTAGTGTTTTTGTAAAGTCGTAGGCGTAGAACGCAAGGTTACGCTACGCAAGGGCGAAGGGGCTGTACTCCCTGCTGCGCCGAAGCCGTTGTAGAAGTAACTTTGGGTCAATATTCCTGTGTAAAAAAGTGAGGTTATGATTTAAAAACAACTATTACTATACTTTTCCACAAGGAGTAAAGGGAAGAGGGGCTTTCCGTGATAGGGCACACTCTTGCTCCCCTCTTCCCCCCTCGTGCCGGAGTCGATAAATGTTATCATTTTGAGGTTAGGTCTATGGGATTTCCTTTTTGATTTTTCTCAAGAACAGTGTATTACCTTTTAATGGGAGTGGTGTCGGGAGTAAGGGGACGCCCCCCTCCCCTCCCCCCTGACCCCTCCTGCCAAACGATTCTAAATTTCAACTTTTATCTATAATTATCCAAAACTTTTTGAAAGTTAAATTTGGAAGTCTTATTATAACAATATTTTACTTACTGGTACAAATAATATAGAAATGACTTCTTTTAATAAAATTGTTTTTATTCTACTTTTTCTTTTATACTTCTTAAGAAAATGTTTGCTGCAAATTGTTGAGTTCTTCTTTGCATTACAACCAACCCGTCCAATGAACCTTAACCATTTTTTCTAATTATAGGATCCGGAGGGATAAACGGCAAAATAAAATTATATTTTAGAGTGCAAGCCGAGGATTTATTTTCTTGTTGTGTAGGCAAGTCTATCGATTCATTATAAACATTCAAGATAAATATCGACATTAATTTTGATATAGTTGATTCAATACTTACCGTACATGTAAAATACTTTGTATAAAAATGTATTTATCAAATTCGTGCAAATTATCAGCAACGTGCCTTTTTTCTTTGTAAAATATCAAAATAAACAAAATAATTGAAAAAGTTCTATATTTGAAACAGTATATAACATAAATTTTAACCAAAACTAAACGCTTCATAACATTGACGACGTCTTGAGAATTTACCTGTGAAATGTGCAATTATCAGGATTATTTCTATTATTAACACCACAATCACTCACTTAACAAGTAAGCATTTTGGAAAAAAGTTTACTTACTAAAAATAACCACTATTACTGTACACGCCCCTAGCTGCCCCTAGCTGCACCGACAAAGGTCGACTATACAGGGGCCCATACAGCTGTAGATTCGACGGACAACTAAGGGTGGGGCCCAACGGCCTATGGAGACTTATGATTCTACACAATAGATATAAGGCTAAATAAATAAATAGTACGTACCTGGTTCCGAAGCTAAGCTGACCCCAAGACTGGGTCAGGCGGTAGATAGGTGCATGTAAGTAGTGTGTTAGAAGGTGTGTATGTGTGACCTGACCTAACTGAGGTGATCGGGCAGCGGCTTTGTCTGATGCTGCCCTATGATGTAGTATCACTCCAGCGGACGTCACCAATGGAAAACTGCTGACTTCTTTCACTATTTCAGTCTATCAACTTTATTGTACATATAATTAACTTCAAAGTCAACCAATTCAACGTTCATCGAAATCAAACACGTGACACATGGCACAACTAATGAACGGTCGATCAAAGTTCAGTATTGTTCCAGGTTCACCCAGCACAGAACCACAAACACGGGAACGAACGCAGTCTCTTCTCGAGTCACAAGGTTAGCGTTCCGCACGGCAAGCTAGATTCTTTCGTAACGATATTAAATACTACGCCCGCAATAAGAACTCAAAATCAGCCTCGCTGACACGCAAAACTAATTAAATAGTCAATACACAAAAAGGCACTTAACGCGACGGTACAATTCAACATTAGCTTCCAAAAACAATTAACCGGGCTACGCCCTCGAAATGGAATGCGAGTATCAAATTTCAGACCATCTGTCCACTCGGCGTGCGCGCAAGGTTCCACGTCACAAAAGCAAGTTAAATATTGCAAAATGCACTTCAACATGCAATCGCTATACAAATTGACGTAATTACTAGCAACGAAATTACTTTAATCACTCAAATTCAATACAAGCCTCTTGTCACGAAACGTACAACTTAGACAACTAATTCGAGGCGGTCTACACGAAACCCAGATATTCAATAGTAAATTAAACGCGCACAAATACTCAAATTCTAGACCATCAAAACCAAAAACTGGCCGCGCGAAACCGAAGCAGCGGTCACAAAAAATACGCTAGTAGTCAGAGCCGCTGCTGTCAAGCTACTGATCAGCCCACCGGCCGGAATCCGGAAAGCCGGCCGATGGGCGACCGACGACCCCCCCCCCCCCCCCGGCGGCGTTTACCTCACCTCGACACCATCGGGTGATGCACCGAGTCAAACGCGATTGGATGCCGCTTTCAAATGCCTATGTTTGGGCCTAAACAAACTCCCGTTCCGGACATAAGGACTTATGTCCGCGAGTACACCGAATCTACAACCAAAACCTAGGTCACCTTAGGCACCCCATCAGATCTTGCAACCTTAACCACCGCCTCAAAAGTACCGCCCCAATGTGGGCAAGCCGGAGGGTCTAACCTCCACTGGATGCCCTTCCTGGGCTTCGCAGCACCTAAATAAGTCCTGTTGCGGACAGAATTCGACGACCTCCTTCAAATATCTATCCGTGCCCCTTATAATGTTCCGTGCTGAGGGCACTTACAAGTTCCAAATGAACGGCTTCAGTGGAGAGGCCCACGAAACGCACAGATAGTCCTTAGTATGATTTTTCACGCAGTAGGCATAATCATTACCTGTATAGGACAGTTACTATACTCTTTGGCGGGAACTTGATCGGCGGCGGTTTGCTGCTCCTGTATTATAGTTTAAATAATAGTTTGAAGTGGATTTTGATATGTAAAAGTGGTGCGATTATTATTATGTATTAACTGTCTACGCATGTGAACTTTTAGTGGAAACGGTGAAACAAGTGCTATGATGGTGATGGATTCTCAAGATAAGCTGTTTGTCTGCATAGGTGCTTTGAGATACCATCGCCAACTGTCTGCTGACTCAAGTTGCCGTCAAAATCTCCCAAGGGCTGCACAATGTGACGCATCAACATATTGTGAAGCAGTGAACTATGAAGGATAATTATACATTTGGGGAAATTATAATAAACCGAATAAAAATACTCAAGACTTGGCCTAAAGGTCTAGATACCAGGTAGGGATGATCGATGTTGTAGAAACATCGATAATGACATCGATGTTCGATGTTTATCCTACTCAAAACATCGATGTTGGCCATTATCGATGTTTTTTTCACATTTATTTAATAGGTTAGAGTTAGATGAAAAAAAAAATTTCATATTGTTTAATTATTTATGGTTTATAATTAATGAAATAAAAGAAATTTATAAACAATGTAGTGTAAAATAGTAAATAAAAAAATTCACAAATATCTAGTTCATTTGTGATACAGTCCAATATTTTTGTCGATTGATTGAAGAAATAGTAATTTTGACAAAGAACCTTTCAATCTGTTTCTCTGTTGATAAAGAGTTGCGCCAGCTATTGAAAATAATTTAAAAACTATCGGTTAGACTTATATGGGTCAAATTTATATTGGACAGTAAAAGAATCATCGAAATCGGTTCACCCAGAAAAGTTATGAGGTAACACACATTAAAAAAAAAAAAGAATATTCAGTCGAATTGAGTACCTCTTCTTTTTTGAAGTCGCTAGATAACCGCTCAGATGGCGTAGCGATTGTGGTCAAATATCTCACCGCATGTTTTTTTTTTAATTTTAGATAGGTAGAACCAATAACATTTTTCCAAACGTGGATCATTGGATCGTGTTTAAAATTAACTATCGGATTTTTTAAAAATCAACCGACAAAGAAACAGACACCCTACAACGACACCAATTACAAAACGAAATCAGTGATAACTGCGACGTTACAGTTGACACTTAAATTTGATACACCATAATGATATATTTTTAGGTTATCGATGTGTTCAAGCATTCTGAATTATTCAAAATTTTAAAATTTTTAGAAGAGATGCAAGATTTAGTTGATATCGTTTTCTCGGGTGCGCAGTCTTCGCAAGTATCCAATAATCGATTATGGCTTTATTGACATTGATGTTTCGATGTTTGACATCGAAACATCAATGTCGAATCGAATATCGATGATCATCGAGCATCCCTAATACCAGGCCATAAACTCCAAAAAAAAAAAGATGACGGACACGACGACGAGTCCGAATCACTAATTTCATATAATATATCAGATTAATTTTGTGTGAAGTCTGCTTTTCACATGATAGAAATTAAATCATACGTGAAAACAAAAAATTATATTACAGGTATTGTGACTTAAAAGAATAAAGCCAAAATATGGGAAAAGCAAAAAAAGGAAAGAAGAACCAGATTGAAGACGAAGGGTAAAATCTTGTAAAATAAGTTTTAAAATAATTTTCGACTCCTTTTTGTGCAAGTATTTACAAACATAATTATTTCCAGAGACAGTGATGTAGAAACAACCAATATTGATAATGTTAAGCCGGTACACAGTAAAGGAAAAACGTAAGTATTTATAGGTTATATAAATATATTTTATCGCTATAATTTGGAAACAAATACAAACCTTTTTACATATTTTTTTTATTTAACGTTTCAATGACTAGGTATAGTCATTCAGTGAGAAAATTCAGCCAGCATTCTTGGCAAAATACCACGGGGAGTAGGAGTGTATGATAATTTAAGTTTTAGTTTTTTTTTGTATTATAGTTTTTGAATAAACTTTTTTTAAGTAAATAAGTAAATAAATGTTATTATAGTCAATTTAATGTTTTATTTTAATGTTCATAATATATGCAAATTAAACTATTTTCTTGAGGTACATTTTACTTAATGTAAACATCATATTAATTTTCCCATATTAGAGAAAATACATTATATCAATAACCAAGCGCTTTATGAATGATTTATGTACAATATAAGAACAAGAAAGAACATTTGCAGCCATAGCGAATACAACTTTTTCTTCTAATATGTAGTTCTTAAAATGTTAAACCAAAATCAAACAAACTAGTTGAGCTATACTGTGCGACATTCTCATCTCTATGCCTATCAACCCTTTCGTGATAGTTTTATGCTATTTTGTAACACACTCATAAGTTATTCTTAGGTTAAATTAAATGCAATCTGTATAATATTAGGCTAGGTTTCTAGTCATTGTAAAATAGCATACACAATTGTAATGGGTTATCCAATTTTTATATAAAACTTAAAGTTACAGCCTATATTAGTCTCACTACTGGGTGTAAGTCTCCTTTCATTTTTGTATACGGTTTTAGGGCAAGGAAGTGTCAGCTGCACTGCTCTAATGCATGTTGGCGAAATTCACATGTTTTTTAAATATTTTTTTTCTTATTTCTCAGACATGCAGGTTTCACAGCACGGTTTCCCAGCTGTTGATTCCATTGAAAATCAATAATTTTATCTTGGATTTGAATCTCTTTAAAGAATAATTCATTAGGGAGAATTAACATTTATGCAATTCATATGAAATGCATGATTTGAACAGTACTTGAAGAGACCCATTTCCTATGACTTGAAAGACTGATATTGCAATTTAATATTTTTTCTTCACCACTTCAGGATGTTCTAGTTGTACTTTGATTATTAACCCTCTCTCTGCCCAGTAAAACATATAAGCACTAGCTGACAAGGGAGAAGACATTTTTGCCATTTTCGATAAGTGACACAATGAACTATTACTTTGAATTCACTCCGGACTCTAACACCTGCATGCATATTTGCTAACATAAAATTGATTAATGACTCAGCCACCTATTGGGTCCAGACTTTGTAATTTTCATTTTTGGCATTGAAACAACATATTATATTGTGAATTTGTACATGTCAGTTTGGTGATCTATAAATGTAGAATTTGTTGATAACTTTTTTACAGCACCAACTATTGGATCCTAGCATAACTATGTACTATTGCCTCGACAAAACAAATATATTTTAAGAATATGAACTCAATCAGTCAAATCATTGAGAAGTTATGCAATCACTAACAGATTCACCAACAATTATATATATATAAATATTTCAATTGTTTAACTACTGTGCATACTTTGCGAATGGGAACTGTTAAAACATCTTCAAATTATTATTTTTTGTATTAAAAAGGAATTAAAAGTTATACTTTTAATTTTATATGTAATATTGTAATCATAATACTTAGTCTTGTTGCACATCTATTATCCGTATATGTGTTGCAACATTATAAATGTGATGTGAAATTTTCCATTTACTATAATGTGCTGAATTGCACACCTGCTGTGCATATTATACATGCATTTGTTGGATTCTGTTCTACCATCTTAATTTATGGCTATATTTTAGAATAATTGAGTCTGATGACAGTGAAGAGGAGAAATCAAAAAGTAAATCCAAGTCCAAGAAATCAGTGGATACTGGAATCAAAGAGGTCACAAAAAATATTAAAAATGTATCAATTACAAATAAATCTCAAAAGAAGAAAGTAGATCTCAGCAGTGAAGGTTAGTGATTTTTTTTATCATATTGCTTTATTATAAATTAAAAATGCCTTTTTCTCAACCTAGTCCTTCATTTTTTTTTTCAAAATAGATGAATCGGATGAAGAGCCTGTGCAAAAATCTAAAATAAGCAAAAAAAAAGAAGAAAAAAGTGCATTTGCTCTATTAGAAATCGAAGATGCTGGGGACTCACCTCCTGAAGCACCACCATCTTCAGATGATGAAAAACCAGTTCAGAAAGCACAAAAGAAATCCACACAAGATAAAAAAGAACCTGCTGGTAAAAAAGGAAAAAAAGCCAGGAGAAAGAAAGATGATAGTGATGAAGATATTGAAAAAGTTCTTGCTGAACTTGAGATGGAATATACAGGTGTCAAAAAAGAACCTGCTCCTGCTCCAGTAGAAGAAAAGCCTCAGGAAGAGGCTGGAAATAAGTCAAAAACAAAGAAGAAAAGCAAGAAAGATGAACTAAAGATTACGACAGAAACTGTTATAGATGAGAAAGATAGTGATAATGAAAATGATATTACAATTAAGACTGCTGCTCAAAAGAAAAAAGAAAAAAAGGAAAAAGAAAAGTTGAAAAAGCAAGAAGCTAAAAAGAAGGAAAAAGAGCAAGAACCTAAAAAGGAATTGAATGAAAGTAAAACCCCTATGAAAGTTCCTGAAAATAAAGTAGATATTAAGACAGTAGAGAATCAGTTGTCTAAAGAAGAATCAAAATCAACAACTGAAGAGAAAGATAAAGAGGGTGAAGGGGATACTCCTGTAGCGGAAGGAAAGAAAAAGAAAAAAGGCGAGAAGGCGGAAAAGGATGATAAAGCTAAAAAGGGACCAACTAAAAAGACTATTGCTGCTATGCAAGAAGCACTTAAAAAGGTAAAGGAGGAGGAAGAAAGACTTAAAAGAGAAGAAGAAGAGAGAATTAAACAAGAAGAGGAACGTGAGCGCCAAAGGCTAGAAGCAATTAGGTTAGAAAAGGAACGAAAGGAAAGGAAGAAGCAAAAAGAAAAGGAGAGAAAAGAAAGACTTAAAGCCGAAGGCAAGCTGTTAACACCAAAACAGAAAGCAGAAAAAGCTAGAGCGCAAGCAATGTTAGAGTCTTTGAAAGCACAAGGGATTGAAATAGGTTCAGCTGAAAAGAGACCAGCAAGGCCAGGAACAAGAATAAAACCAAATAAATTAAAGACCCAACTGTCACAAGAAACACCTACAACACCAGCTGAAGATAAGAAGTTAGAACCAGATACAGCTCATAAAAAGGTAATAAAATTTAAATTTGAAGTTTAAGTTTATTTAATATAATATGCTGAAAGACCCATTTATTGGCACTTTAAGAGGATGTCAAATTTCTAATAGCTTTTTTATGCAAATAACTAATAATATATATATCATCATATCAGTCCTCAGTTTTTTTTTTTAGTAAAATATTATTAAACAATACACAACAAGACACTTGTTGTCAATAATTGGCCCAAAAATATCCAACTATCCAGAACTTTTTGACCCACCCTCGTATGTTGCCCAGAGGTTACTACATACAAAATTTCATGGCAATACATACAATAGTTTTTGCATGAATCATGAATACACAGGCAGACAGACATTCTAAATACTACTAATTCAAATTCAGAGCCCTTACAAACACTGGACTTGTTTTTTTTTCTCAGGAAATATTAGAATAAAAGACACAACTTTTTAACACAATGTATAATAATAATTATTATGTACCTATATACTATTCAATAGTTTATTTCTGCAGGAAGAACCACAAAAAACAGATGAAAAGAAAGAACCCGAAAAAGAAATGATTAAAGATTCATGGGATGCAGAGTCTTCTGAAGAAGAAATAGAAGAACCACCTAAGCTAGAACCTCCAGCAGAAACTCCTGATAAAGAGCAATTAAATTCCACACAGGAAAAACAAAATCAGGTTAAATTTCCCTATTTTTATACATTATAATTTCACATTTACATTAGAAATATATAATACATCTTTATCCCTTTCACCGCCGCGCTTTAGTTGACGTGGAGTGTCTCCAGCGCCAGGAACTTTTATTTAATATTTTGCATAGTGTTGGAACAACCGTTTATCGATAAATGAAACAAAGTTTTAAAAATTATAGATTATTATTTATTTTCATTATCACTAGCTTTAATCAGTCTTAATTTTCATTAATCACATTGCACTTAATCAGTGTTAATTCTCTTCATAAAACTAATCAATATTCAGGAGATGGGTATGGACCTTGATCTAATATAGCTCCTTCCCGAGCGTGACATATCAAATTTAATATGTCCATATACACTTGCGATCGAATCTCGTATGGGCCTCACTCCATTTCAAGTGCAATTAATGTACCAAAATGCTCATTTCGAGGATCTTCTGGTCTTTGATTAAATAATCTTGAAGCGGGCAAACATATAGGTCGTGTAGTCATCTTCTTCCGATTTCACATAGCATATGTAATGATTTTCAGTCTGCGTTGTTCTACTAACGGAAATGGGAGAATAGATGGCGATAACGGCGGTGACTCATCACTTTGTGACATGATAATTCTAATCCATATATTAAAAGATTTTTCATGTTCCTGTAAAAATTTATAAATTAAGCAAATATAAATTTAGTGTAAGTTTCTCAAATACCTGATTATTTATTTTAAATGAATATTTACTTACCGATTCAATATCACTGTCTGTAGATGAAACATTTTCGCTATGAATATCATTATGCGATTCTAAATTATTTAACAGTTCTTCTTCGTCTAGCATTATATAATGTACCGGGATAATTCAATTTTGCATTTGGGTTGTTTGGTTTATAAATTAATATTTTTCATAAACTTTTTTCTTATCGCAAAAATCATTTAAATAATATATGAAATTAAATTTTTATGAATGTTTAGTTCAGTTCATTAAAAAAATTACATTATGGTGACTTAACTACCATTTTAATCTTGAAACAATACAAATATAAATTTGATAAATCTTTTACAGTGGCGCAACACTGGTCTCAGAAATATCACTGGGATGGCGAGGCAGCAAGATGTTTAATTTCATCTTGCACTCAGTAACATTATATATTTCTGTTAATTTTTTGATATTGGTATCTACAACTGTCCAAAATTAATTAAATATATTAAATTTAATAGCAAAATCGAATTAACCTTGCGGTTTTTCTAGTAACATGAACATTTCGGAATATTATGTGAGTGGCGCTGACGGTATTCACCTTAAGATTCGTAATATTACGGCGATGGCGGTGAAAGGGTTAAAATTTCATGTTGTTTGTTTTCTGTATCAATACATATTTATTTATAGAAAGAAGAGGAAGAAAGTTCAGACGAAGAAGATGAAAGTTCTGAAGAAGAATCTAGTTCGGAAGAAGAATCTGATGATGATCAGATGACAGATGCACAAAAGAAGAGAGAAGTTATCCTGAAGAGATTAGAGGTAACAGCAGAGAATCATCATATTTTAGTTCTCTGTATATGGTAAAACTTTTATTTTATACTTCTTCAGATTTATTTATCTATATAAGTAGCCTTCAAAGTTAATTTATCATGCTATTTATTTGCTATTATTATTGTTATAATTTGCAATTTCAACATTGCATTTTTCACAACATCTACTCCTAAAGCACGCATTTTGTGTGTATTCATGTATATTATACTTATTTGAGCCATTAAATCACCTCAAAGAAGTTCAGCGATGACTTGACATTACTTACGACCACGGGTAGCCACTTAGGCGCGCCGATATGTTCAACCGTATATTATTAGTATTATTATAGCTATATTAGCCCTGAGTTATAGAACAGATATGCTATCGGTCAGTATTTTAGTTAAAATGATCCGTTACATTCATATCATTTATCGCTATCGCCGGGCGGATTATGCCCATACATTCAGGCTAGAAGATTACTGTTGGGTTCTAGCAGTGTAGAATACAAATGTAAAAAAAAAAATAGATTCCCTGAAAAAGTTACTTGTTTAGTTCTGTAGTAGTTATTAAGCCATCTGTGAAGATTCTGAGTTCATTGGAGTTCAGATCTACCTGATGATTTGCTTAACTTAATTGAATTTTGTATATCTTTTCAAAAACAAATTGTTTAGGTAGCCATGGACCATGGAGCTATAACAGGTAATTCATTTAAGTTTCTCCCAGTGTTGTATAATCTGTTATTTAAAAAAAAAGTTCCACTGGGTTTCTTGCTGGTTCGTCCCAGGAGGTTTTTATTTAGAACAAGTGGTAATTAAACAAAAGAGTGACTTTCTATAAGTATTATTTATAATCTATATTGAATAAAAAAGTTTCTGTTTCTGCAGGTAGAAGTTCTAAACTAAAGCATAAACCTTTAAATAATTTAAATAATACTAATTTTACATTACTAATTTTAAATCATTATGTAAAGCATAAACCGTTTTGTTTGTTTTGTTTCTTGGTTTTTCTTTCGGATATAATCTATTGTCAGATTATTATTCACATTATTTAATATGTTTGCTCTACAGAAACGTCGTGAAGAAAACGAGCAGAACAAAGCGAACAATCCGCTCCGTGCCGCTGTGGTGTGCGTACTTGGTCACGTAGATACTGGCAAAACGAAGATTCTTGATAAATTGCGACGCACTAACGTCCAAGATGGCGAAGCTGGTGGAATCACACAGCAAATTGGCGCAACCAATGTCCCTATTGAAAATATTAAAGAACAGACTAAACATGTCAAGGGAGTGAGTTTCTTTATATTTAGAATTATTGATTATTTGTTCCATAGTCGATTATATTGTATAAACCAATATTACTAATAATTAATTTTACTGTTACAGGTGAATGAAATAGCCTTCAAACTACCTGGTTTATTAATAATAGACACTCCTGGCCACGAATCTTTCAGCAATCTTAGAAATCGAGGCTCTTCATTATGTGATATTGCCATCCTTGTAAGTTTTATTTACTAAAACTAAAAATGACTACCTAAATCTTCATTAACCTGTAAAAGTCTGCTATTGGACATGGGCCTCTCCCCTGGTAGAGACAATTTGCCTTAGTCATCATGCCTAGAAGGCAGAATGACAATTATTTTCATTGTCGGTAGGAGTATTTTAAACTTTTACACTACATCACAATAATCAAATAATGTTCTTTCTATCTTTTTTATACGCCCGCAGAAGTCCACTGTTGGACATGGCCATCCTCGCTTGCAGAGAGAATTTGCTATAATTGTCAGGCTTGGTAGCCAGATTGACGACTATAGCACAAAAGGTCTTGTGCCTTTGACGTTCCTCCCCGTTGCTAGTAAAGTAAACGGGATGGCTATATTATACCGTCACCTGTCAGAAGCCATGAGGTCTTTCTATAATTTTTAATAGTCACTTTTATGACACCCACGGAACTAAATGCCATGATGAATTGTCATACGCCGCTAAACACGGTGCATAATTAAGTAATATATAGGTTCAGAAAGTGAGCGCAAGTAAGACGAAAGTTATGGTTTTTGAAAGAGAAGAAAGTAAAACGATATGTGAAATAAGAATAGAAGGGAAGTTGGTAGAGCAAGTATATGAGTTTGTGTATTTGGAATGTGTATTTAACAGGGATGGTAGATATGATAAGGATATAGAATGATGAGTGAACACAAGAAATAGAGTAAATGAGGCTCGACAGTGAGTGAGTGTGTGTTTTAATAAATTTTTATAGCTTTATATTTTTACAGGTAGTAGATATTATGCACGGTTTGGAACCACAGACTATAGAATCGATTAATTTGCTAAAACAAAAGAAAACTCCATTTATCGTTGCCCTTAACAAGATCGATCGTTTGTACGACTGGCAAAGTGCGCAACGTAAAGACGTCCGTGATATCCTAAAGATGCAGCAGCCGAACACTCAGTTGGAATTTGAAAAGAGAAGCAAGGATGTAATACTTCAGTTTGCTGAACAGGTAAAATATTGCATTCACAACATTTCTTTGTGTGAGTTGTTGATTGAAAGTTTTTGTGTTATATTTTTATTTGTAGTAAGTACGCGCATATATTTGGAATATACAATAAAGTTAGGTGCTAGAAACCTCAAGATGTTTCATGACTAATATACAGGGTTCTCAGAATTGAGAGAAGGCCGGTGCTTAGTTCAGTGTGCAGGATGTATTGAGAATGTAATGTCACTTTACTTTATACATGGGTTGGACTGAGTTTATAACAAAGACTATCATGAGCATGCTGACTTAATAGGTAATCTAAATAGATTGCATAACAAATATTTTAAAATTATCATCAGTCCTACTTATTATGGTATAGTGCCATGAACACTTACTGAATTTCTTTGTTGAATATTTTTTAACCTGTGGCAGAGAATCCAATCTCTTCTGCTGTCAGCAGGTGATTAGGGATGTTTCAATACCACTGAAGTTATAAGTGGTACTAAAACTGTATTGTGATCACCACAAATAAATCACCACAAAAAGTATTGTGGCCTCCCCCAAAGAATGCCACAAAAAGCACGGTCCTGAGCCACCAGCATCCATCAACTTCCTGCATCATTTACTTGGTTGACACTCTATATAGGGAGCCACCCGTCATTTTGCTTACCCGTACGACACTGCCGCTTGAGAACTATTTTCCTCGTCGGATGTCGATTCTTCGAGCTATATGGCAGCTCCATTGCGATTGCCACAATACTTATATGGTTTTTTTTTTCATTTTATATGCAAATGTAATATTGTCTAAATATTAATTTCATGTAATTTAATGAAACACGTTAAATTGTAAGCCGGGCCGGGCGCATTGGAGTTCGCGCACGTCATGCACTTCTCTCTCAGTAATACACCGCGATCAGTTCGCCGTCGGACTAAGTGCCATCCGGAAGCCCAGGCGACCCTTCAAAATGGACGGCTGGACCGTGACGGTGGCCGACCGGCCGTCGGACGATAGAAGACATGAATTGCGCACGCGCACCTTATACTAAGCGCGTCCGGCCCGACGCAAAATAATGCCATAATCGACGTCCTGCCGTTGCGCGGACTTCGGTGCGGCGGATCTGTTGTGTTTATATCTTCGGTGCAATAATAACAAGAAAAACCAACACACTTTTGACTAAAAGCAAGCACTGCAATTCAATATAATATAAATATTGATTCTGGCTGAGGAACGGAAGGCACTCCCGTAGATACAAGCAAGCAGTCAACCACTCACTATTCGGATTTAAAAAAAAGCCAAATTGATTCAAAATAAGTAATTTTCTTCCAATATCTAGTAACAATTGAGAATGATTTGTTGCTTAAAGTACTTGATATCGAAACAAAACTTACTTGTATCTAAAGGTAAAGTAAACTTTCTTGTATTTACTTAGAACAATTCCTAGCGGTAATTAGTCACTTATATCTTCCTTTAGAAACCTAACCGCGTGTGGACGTCTCTGACCGATAGTCTACAGCAAATGGCACAAAAATATATTCTCCTTACATTTACTTTCATTTTACGCCACCTTTTTCAGAGCAGCTGATATCGCTCCGGTAATAAAAGTATACAATTTATCGAAATTAATTCCAGTACGAGAAAAGTAGGTCTTTACATGTAGGTTATTTGCGAAATCGTTCATATCGTTATATGTGTTCATATGTAATTTTTTACTATTACAGGGTTTGAACGCGGCGCTATTTTATGAGAACCCGGACCCGCGCTCTTATGTGTCACTGGTGCCCACATCGGCGGTGACAGGCGAGGGAATGGGAAACTTGCTGGCTATGATCGTGCAGGCGTGTGAGGGGCCGCTACATAAGCGCCTTGTGTTCTCACAGCAACTGCTCGCTACCGTGCTCGAGGTATGTGAATGGGCACTATTTATATTCACGTTTAAGCGTACCGTAAAGTGAGCGAGTGAGTGAGACTTTAAACATTATTCATTCAGTTTGTAATGAAAATCATGCTGAAAATTTTCCGATTTAACCAGGTGAAAGCGATCCCCGGATTGGGCACAACGATCGACACGATTCTGATCAACGGCACGCTGCACGAGGGCGACACCGTGGTGCTGGCGGGCACGGACGGGCCCATCGTCACGCAGATCCGCTCGCTGCTCATGCCGCAACCCATGAAGGAGCTCAGGGTTAAGGTCAGAGACTGCCTCATATCTTTACATGTTAAACCGCAGGCTAAATTCAAAATTTATTATTATTTCTAAAAGATATATAAATATTTTACACGCAGAATGCTTACATCGAGTACAAAGAAGTGGTGGGTGCGCAGGGAGTAAAGATTGCGGCTAAAGAATTGGAGAAAGCCATTGCCGGACTTAATCTGCTCGTAGCACAAAAACCGGATGAAGTTGATGTCTTAAAGTAAGTATACTTTACTGTTGTTGCGCGTGTTGTGCATTATGCCTAGGCTGCACGCACTATACGCGGTGTACTTGTATGTAGCCACGTCGTCGTGGAGAAGATTTCAGAACTTCGGGCGAAGCAGGAGACACTTTCACTGCTGTCAGTTAACTTTCGCACATAGGCTCCCTCTACAGTACTCGCGAAATTACGGTGAGGAAGTGCTTATCAAAGTCGATCGCAGTATGAAGAACTTGACTACATACTATATACAACAGATAGGCGGTCTTATACTGGATTTTGTTTCTTATTGACTAACGGTGTCATATCTTGAGAATGTAGGAAGCAAAAGACTGTAGTCCTATCAAGTTGTGAAGCTGAGTATATGCAATTTGAAAACAACTAATAAAATGTACACTTTAACATTATATAAAAAAATGCATGAGTGTCGTGGAACACTCGGTTGGAACGAAGTTCCTTGCGTAGTATAATATTATTATTGATAAACGTAGGTATTATATTATTGATTAACAAATACAAATAAATGAATTACTAGCGTCTATTAAAATGAAGTGTCATTTGAAATAAAATAATATTTCTTTCATGGCAAGGTAAGAAAAAGTGCGAAGGAGATGGATATTATTCCATCTCACTGTCTTATTTCACCACCAAGGCCGTCTACACTATGACACAAGGAGTAGTAACGAAAATATCTTACACTTTTTGTCGCCTAGCTCCCATCCGCCCAACCCATACCGTCCGATAAGGAGCTTCATTCCAAAAACAATCAGATCGCACAGAAGCTGTCGACAAATCCAGTATTTCACAAGAAATCTAAACACATTGATGTGAAATATCATTTTACTAGAGAATGTGTTTCAAATAATATAGTAAATTTGCAATATTTAACGACAACAGACATGCCCGCTGATTTGCTAACAAAAAGTCCTATGTGCGAAGAAACATCATATATGTTTATGGAAATGTTAGGTGTTGTTAATGCATAAAATTTTTAAATGATTATTTGAGATAGTGGGGGTGTTAAAATGTATGTAATCAATCAAATACACTTTGAGAGACCTCTGTTGTCATAGTTTGTAAATTCTGCTACATTATCTGTGTCATGTCTATTGCTACATTATCCGTGTCATGTCTATAAAAAAATACAGTTCTCTTTCGAATCACAACGCGGTCGTTTTATTAGACACACTTGTGCAACTTCGTGGAGAGCTCAGTCGCCGCGAGTCACTAACCAATACCATAACCCAAAAACCATGAATAACCTTTAAGAGTCAGCTGCTGTTGCAGTGTGTTCGCTCTATTGCACGAAGCGAATCGAAGTGCTTTTCTACACTATTCTCCTCGTCCAACTTCGATCAACTTCGCGAGCAGTGTAGAGCCCATTTTAATGATCCCTCTTATATATATATATCGTGGTACTGTTCACAAAATTCACGTTAAGGGTGCGGGCGACACAGGGCGATTGAGCTCTTTGCGAAGTTGCACGAGTGTGTAGTCACGATCTTCGGACTGCGACTGAGCACTTGAACGAAGTAACTTCGCGAGTAGTGTAGAGGAGGATAAGGATTTTATCGCGATGTACTTCGTATGTGCAGCCGCACTACACGCACAGACATCGAAAGTAGCGCACGTGTCGGCGTGAATTAGATATATATGGTGTGGGTTCAACCTGGATTGGAGTGACGACTACATTTATGAGAATAAATGTTACGAGAATTTAATCACGAGACGAAGCTCATATTATAAATATTTAAAACCAAAAGAACCGGGTAAAAAATGGACGAAGTATTATATGAGACCTTATACATATATCTTATGCACCTTACACAGAACATCGAGGTGACATAATGATATATGTGGCCCTTTATATTCGCCGTAAACCAAAGAGGATGTTTTCTCGCACGAATGCCATCGCGATGTGTGAGGCCCTAGCTTAAGTGCTACTTCGGATCTTATGTCACGTGTACACATGGATTACTTTACATAACATAAAAATATTATTTTCGGCTCGGTTGAACAATAGATTATTATTTACGTATGGTTGAATAAACATCACAATGTATGTATGTACACCTAAAGTATAATGTAGAGCTATGAATATGGTACTGCTAGACATGGTGATTAGGGTAAAGAACAATGACAGACTTTCATACATAAAATTTGTTGAGAAGGAATGGTAGCGTCTAATATATCAAAAATATCTTAAAATGTTAAGTGTCAGTCCCTTAATAATTCTGTCAAAGAATTTTGTTCTGAGAAGGCGTCAAAAAACAAGATATTTAGATTTGAACCTTTTTAGGTTATGTCTTATGTCACTTGGAAAAAGTCATGCGGCCTGTGGTTGTTTTATGTTATCTTAATACATTCTCAACATAATGTACCTACCTACATAATTGAAAGTTTTTAGATTATTGTATCTCTATTATATATTTGCATACTATAAATGTATATTTTTGGCATGGCTCCAGGGCCTTTGTGTCATACAGTGACATTTCAGAAGGGCTAGAACTCGAGCCGTAAAGCCAGTAAAAAAAAACAGTGACATTTTGTTTCAGCTAGTGTTGCCATAACATTAAATGAAATTGTTTTACATGATACTATGATTGAGATTAATGTATTATTGTAGGAAGTTCTTTGTAAGAGACTTATTTTTAACCATATCGGTTTTATTTTTATTATTACTAGTAATAACTTAATACAAAAATATTTTGTGTTTGTGTGTTGTGTTGGTAGTCTTATAAAGTGTATACTAAAATAGTATGAATATAGTAAATGGCAACACTTGAATAGAGTAAAATGATTTAAGTCATTTTTTCTGTGGCTTTAATTAAAATACATTTTTATTTGAAAAATCATAGGAAAATAATAAAATTCATTTTATATATAACTTAGTTCTAGACGCAATAATTTTTGTCAACTATTTTTCTGCCATTGTTCTTTAAGTAGTATCCAAAAACAGTGTTCAATTTCCAACAGACGATTGTATATGCCATGATGATGACTACTGATCTTGTTTACAGTCTTCAAGACTGTGTTAATTTATATATCTTATGTGACTGTGTTAATTTAAATCTATTTAACTGCCTCGTTGATCCAGTGGTTACAAACGCGATTGCTGATCATGAGGTCCTGGGTTCGAATCCCGGGTCGGCCCGAAATCGGTTATTGGGATTTTTGTCAAGAAATTCTCAGTAGCAGCCCGGAGTTAGGAAGTTAGCGGTGTTTCACCCCGTGTCTCGCAAAGCACATAAAGCCGTCGGTCCTGAGCCTGATCTCTCTCCGGTCGCGTCGAATTGACATTCCATCGGACTATGAATGTGAGGCTGTGAGGGAATAGAGAGAGATATAAAATACAGAATGTTACGAATACATTAAGTTGCGTCGTGGGCGTTTATTACTGACCGAGTCAGTGAAATGTTATATGGCAACAGTGCTGAATGATATAAGTGTTTAGGTAATTTATTGTCTACCGTATTAAGATTGTATATAAAATCGATTCTTCTTCATACTTTATCCAGGCTTAGGCCGCGTTCTGACGACACGCACTCGCTACGCGTACGCCACGCGCGTGAGCACCTGCGTCTAACTCGCTTTGAAATTTGTTGCATATAATTTGAGTCTTATGACAAATCAATAAATCTGAAATTACATTTATCGACGTTCAACCGCACACGCCTCGTACACGCCACGCGCCCGCCTCGTTCCCGCTCCGCGCCGGCCCCGCGCTCGCCCCGCACACGCGCTGCACCCGCCCCGCTACGCCTTAAGCCCGCGCTTTTTATACTATTTCAGATTTATTGATTTGTCATAAGACTCAAATTATATGCAACAAATTACAAAGCGAGTTAGACACGCGTGGTGTGCGCGTAGCGGGTGCGTGTCGTCGGAACGCGGCCGTAGGACTGGCGGCTAGTCCTTAATTTATGGCTATATATAAAAACGATCGCATAGTATTTGACACGTAAGCGCCTTAGAGGTCATTTCACGTGCATGAATAACGACAGCGAAAATGCGTACGAGTTGAGTGATAGACTTCTCATTTGTTATCTCTTTCTGATTTGTATAGATTGTAATTATTTCGCTCGCTGACTCGCCACTCGCGAGTCAATAGGTAAGTTACTCAGTGTCTCAGTCTGTCTCTCTCGCAGTCGCCTCGCTAGCGACGCGTTGCGCGAAATGAGCACAGAGCAAAGTAATGTTTCAGATCCAAATGATGCATTTGAAACGTTGTTACTGAAACAATCTTTTGAATCACTTCAGTGATTCGGATCAGTGAGCCGGTTCCGTAAAGAGTTACACACACCTATTGCGCATACAATCGGACACTTTAATCCTGTCCCGCACCGATGGCTAGTCTCTGTTGAGTCTGGCCGCCGAGATCGAAATTCGATCTGGAGTACATTATTATTGCTAATTATATCACATTCCATTCATTATGTAGAGAGGAAGTCGCCAGAGAGCTGAAATCTGCTCTTTCGTCCATCAAGTTGTCGGAGCGTGGTGTCTACGTACAAGCCTCGACGCTCGGTTCCCTCGAGGCTTTGCTGGAGTTCTTAAGGACTAGTAAGATTCCGGTTAGTAAAATATGCTTAAAGCAAACTATTAAATTTTATTAATCATACAATTTTAACACAAGTAAGGGTGACAAACAAGTACACAATCCACCTGATGGTAAGTGGATAGCCCATAGGCGTAGACTTTCATTCTAGATAAAGCATCAAAATTCAGATGCGTTTACTTTTGAGGATTAAGATGGAATATCCCATTATCAGTAACAAAACGTCTGAAATATAAAATAATTATTTTTTTATAGGATAGGGTGACAAACGAGCACACAGTCCACCTGATGGTAAGTGGTAGCTGTGGCCCATAGACATCTACATCTATCCTCGTTTGCGAATCAAAATGCAGATGCGTTGTCACCCGTGAGGACTAAGGTGGAATGCCTCTTTTCCAGTAAAAAGGGCCTCCGGCCACCTACACTCACCGAGCGAAACGCAGAGGTAAACCTCTACTTCACGCTGGTATTCTGTGAGGTCGTGGTACCACCCCGGTTTGAGCCGGCTCATCCGTGCGACAGCAAAAGCTGCCGCGTGGCTCTACCACTGTCAAATAAGTTATAATATACGAGATAAAACCCGTAAAACGTCTTATCCAATTGTAGTGAGTTGGTATGTTGACCGTTACGCGTGGCTGGCGGTTGACGATGGCAGCACTAGACCTTTCGCAACTTTGTCGCTGGTCGCTGCTACTTGTCGTCGTCTTTTGGGTATTTCACTTGCGTAAACGAGATGGTTATACTGCTATCTTTTAGATAATAAAAGAGTTTTCTGGTATTTCTCTTCGTTGCCTCTTAGGATACCCACGGGACGAAATATGGTGATGGATTATTTTACGCCGCCTCCACACGGCATGATTGTTATTGCAAAGTACCGCGATACGCGGTGCGAGTAGGTATTTTCAAAAATGCTATCTTGTTTCATACTGCTCGCTCCGTATCGCCGTATCGTGCGATAGTGAGAGTTGTAAGTCTTGGAAACAATTGCCTACATTTCGTTTTTGAAATATTGTTTCGGGCGATAACGTTTTCACCCCCTTAGACCTTTACTAAATGAGACAATTTTGCTCTCATTAGATTGTGTACACCTTAATCTAGGTCTGTATGTTTTTATCTTTTTCAGTAATTCAGTTTAGTTTAATTAAAAAATAACCGTTCGAGGCAGTTTTTAAGTCTTTATTTTTTCTTTTATCTTTATAGGGGGAAAAACGCTGTCGCTTTTTGTATGAAAATTTACTGTTTCACAGTCCTCTTTTTGGTTTGTAAAAGGTGTAAAATCTATTAAATCTATTGCCCTCTTATAACGTCAAAAGTGTATTTGAAAATTGATATTTTATTTATGTTCATCAGTACTCCGCCATCAGGATAGGTCCAGTCGTGAAGCGTGATGTGATGAAGGCCTCTGCTATGTTGGAGCACGATTCTCAGTACGCGACGATATTAGCTTTCGACGTAAAGGTGAGTTGTGGATTATCTTTATCATAATTTATTATTATTATCTTTATCTATACTCTATACATATAAATAAAATTAATGTGTATGTCTGTAATATTAAAATAACTGGCCTCTATTAAGCTCAGTGGGTATTTGCACGTCATTAAGACCATTTTAACATTTTTGCCTATCTGTCTGTCAGGAATCTAGGCTAGGATTTACTGAAATAAATCATTAGTTAACATGGTATATAACTTTTTATAAGTTTCTTTTGATATTTAGATATTTTGTGTACATTATAGATGATAGATGATATATAGATATATAGATAGATAGATGAAAAAGATGCGATGCATAATAATTCGTTTAATTTTTGCACAGATTGAACGCGACGCCCAGGAGTTGGCTGACCAATTGGGCGTGAAGATATTTGCGGCAGATATCATCTACCATCTGTTCGACAAGTTCACGGCGTATCGGGAAGAGTTGAAGCAGAGGAAGCGCGAGGAGTTCAAGCACATCGCAGTGTTCCCTTGCAAACTTAAGGTTTATAATGTGCATTTGATCTAAGACTAAATTTATAATGTGGTAGGGATCCTAAGGGGTAGAAATGATGATAATGATGATGATTCTGTGCGCACATAGTTCTTCCTCGATCGAGCAGACAAGTTCGTGCTGCAGCCGTAATAAAGCTGCAGCATAACACTACCACAAAAATTTTTCAGCCTGGGTCCTCAGTGACCTTACCTTAGCCTCAGTTACAAGGGTGCAAGCCATGGCCTGCAGTAGTTAATTCAGGTATATTATTGTTAGATTTTTTGCAAAGAGTATTTGCTTTTGTGGTGTAGTCTATTCTATATGCGGGGACATGCATCAAGTTCTGTAGTGATTGTTCCCTGTGATTACTTAAGAAGATATGCTATATAGGATAGAAAGAAAGGAGCAATGCCTTTTTAATACGGTAATCTCGCCTCCGAGGCTATCTTCAGACAAATGGCGAAGTTCAAGGTATACAGAGTTATTTTACAAAATATGCCCAAATTTGTGGAAGAGTTCCAGAATAGGTAATATTGGCGAATTAAATGAAACTAACTTTACGGATTTTGTCGCGTTTAGTTTTAACTTTTTAACTCCCGACGTTTCGGGTACTTTACAGCGCCTATGGTCATGAGGGTGACTGGTCAGTTTTTGAGTATTAAATATTAAACAGTTTGAATACACAGGGTTATTTTGCAACATATGCCCAAATTTGCAGAAAAGGTCCAGAATAACTTATATAAGCGAATGGTTAATAAAATTAATAAATAATATCTCAAACAATCTGCCGTTTTTATCTTTTAAATTCATAATGCGTGGTAATGCATTATTGATTGTCATTCATAAATATCTAACGCTTACTATTTTAGTACGCACGCACACATTCGTAAGGGTCGCTCGGTCAGCAAAAACGTTGTAAATTGAATCGCACATGTAGGAGCGAGCCTACGTGTAGTTGTTGCCCATAAATCACATTCAATTTGGGATAATAACTAATAAAATTTTAAGCCTTATTTAGTCGTATTTTCAAAAACTGCAAAAACGGTATATCAGTATTGCATGCTTACGGCATGCAATACTGATATACCGCGCTAGGCGCGTCGGTATGTTCCACTAGGGCCTAAAATTAAGATTTTTATATATATGAAGTTAAATATTAAATTTGGATACACTTTGAAAAATAACCCGTATATGTAGGTGTCGGCCCCGTAAATGGGAGAACGTAATAAGAAAAGGAATTGTAATAGAGAAATTTAAAGGAAGTCAAGAAAGAACATTACTGAAAGAGCCACAAGAAAGTACCGCATGCTCCTTCGAAGATTTGATCCATATAACCGGATGGTTGGAAAAAAAATACGAGGGTGGATTGAAAAGTACTCGGCCTAACACAGATCCATTCAATTCTAAAAATCAAATATTCCCACATTATTTAGTTCAGTTCAGACTAGTTCATTGTGTGAACTTCGAAACTTGTGCGATAATTAGTTGTGATTTTATAAATTTATTAACAAAGTAATCGGACATAATTTCCGCGAATGGAGCAAATCGAGCAGCGTGCCGTCATTAAGTACCTCCATAAGAAGGGGCTATCATCAAAAGCCATCCATGATGACTTGGTCAGTACATTAGGCGATTGTGCTCTGTCATATTCATCCGTCAAAAAATGGATAGCAGAATTTAAGCGTGGTAGAGAGAGTGTGAAAGATGAACCCCGCTCTGGAAGGCCTTCGACGTCAACTACTGACGAAAATATTAAAAAAGTACTTGATTTAATAATGGGAGACCGCAGATTAAAAATTAGAGAGATAGCCGAGATTATAGGCATCTCTTATGAACGAACTCAAAACATCATTGTCAACGAGTTGGGTTTCCACAAGGTGTCTGCGAGGTGGGTTCCGCGACTGCTTTCAGTTGAACAAAAAAGGACGCGATTGACTATTTCACGCGACTGTTTGGAGTTATTTGAAGCCGATGCAGATGATTTTTTGAATCGTTTTGTTACTATGGACGAAACATGGGTTCATTACTGTACACCGGAAACAAAACAACAATCAAAACAGTGGAGAAGACCTGGTTCACCACTCCCTAAAAAGGCTAAGTCGATTTTGTCGGCAAATAAGGTGATGGCTTCAGTATTCTGGGACTCGAAAGGTGTGATTATGATTGATTATCTTGAAAGGGGTCAGAATATAAACTCTGATTACTACTGCACCTTACTACGTCGTTTACGAGAGGAAATAAAAGAAAAACGTCGAGGAATGCTCAGAAGAAAAGTCCTGTTTCATCAAGATAACGCCCGTGTTCACACGTCAGTACAGTCAATGGCTGAAATTCACAACTGTGGCTTTGAACTGTTACCGCATCCGCCGTATTCACCTGATCTGGCACCATCAGACTTCTTTCTGTTCCCTAACCTAAAAAAGCACTTGGGAGGTCAAAGATTTTCGACAAACGACGAGGTCAAAGCAGCTGTAGAGGTATATTTTGACTCTAAGGAAGAATCATTTTTTTTCAACGGTCTAAATGCTTGGAAGAGGAGGTGGCAAAAGTGTATTGAACTTGATGGTGATTATGTAGAAAAATAAAAATATAACTGATTTAGTATTTGTTTATTTTCTTGGTTAGGCCGAGTACTTTTCAATCCACCCTCGTACAAGTAGCAGTTGAGTGTCAGCCAGAAGAGACTATCAGATATAACCGTTTTTGTAGTGTCGTCTTTTTTACCCGAAGCACTAAAAGTCAGGGGTCTATTAGACCTCTGAAAAAAATAAAGTTACAGAATTATGCTTTATTTTTAAGTCATTATAATATTGAAGATGAGAAAGATGACAAGTTGCCGTGTGGTGGCGGAGTGAGCGAATCCATCGCTCCATTTTGATCCGTGGGTATCGTAAGACGCGACTATGAAAAATGCCAGTAAGATCTTGTGGATTCCGATAGATGGCGGTATATCTCGTTAACCATTCCATAATATTATATTCCATATTAAAGCCGTGGTAGCTCAGGAGTTAAGCGCTCGCTGTAAATTTCACAGTACACGAGCAACCCAGGTTCGAACCCCGCCGGCACCAATGAAATTGATTATTGCAATTTAAGTGCTGATTTACCACGCGCTCGGCGGTGAAGGAAAACGTAGTAAGGAAACCTGCATATCAGAGAAATAAGAAAAAAAAAAAACAAGCGTGAGTGTCGTGAAATACACGGTTGGAATGAAAAAATACAAATATATGAATTACTAGCGCCTATTCAAATAAACCGTCATTTAAAATAATATTTCTTTCGTGGTAAGATAAGAAAAAAGCACGAGGGAGATGGATATTATTCCATCTCACTCGCATTACAGAAAGGGGGTTGTGACGGAAAAATCTTAAATTTTTTTCTCTGCTTGCCTCCGTCCGCCAAATTCGTACCGTGAGATAAGGAACTTCGTTCCAAAAATATTTCGAAGATATGTGAAGTTCGCCAACACGCATTAGGGCTGTGCGGAGAAAACTTTCTTGACCTAAACCCCTCTCAGAAACGAGAGAAATCCTGTGCCCAGCAGTAGAACGTATATAGACTGTAACTTTAACTATTTCATTCCATCCATTCATTTCCATTACAGATTATTAAAGGCCACTTATGAACATAGGCCTCACCTTAGACTGTCTTATAAGTGGTATATTTGCCTACAAATAGTTGTTCATGGTCTGCATGTTTGTCCTTGTGAAATTTATGTATGTAAACTGCGCCCACGATACAGGAGAAAATCCTAGTGTGGAACTTTTTTAAAATAAAATCACCTAGAGAGGCCATTTTCAACCTACTTCAGAAAAAGGAGGATGCGACTGTATTTTTTTTTGTTTTACCTCAAAACTTTTTTCTATGTGAACCGATTTTGATGATTCTTCTTTTATTTGATAGCTGGTGCTTCTCGTGTGGTTCCATATAATCCGATCAAGATATATATGGGATAAATCTCATCTTGATCTAGATCTGACCAGTAGTTTTTGCTTTATCCTTAATAATACGTATTTAATTGACTTCAACTATATTGATGATGTTCTCATTTTATTTATATTGAAGTCGGTTGTACGAAATTTTTAATTTTACCACTTGTTGAGATATTGAAGTTTGAAGATTACAATGGTATCCAGTGACTTGTTTCGAATTGTTTGTAATTTTGCTATTTATCGTCTGCTAATTGCTGGTCCTCTCTTTACTGTAGCAAAGTATTAGCCTGTAAGGTTTTTTATTTCGTTTATAATCGAAATTTTAGCCTAGTCTGTTGAATATTTTTTGCGTAATAATCACCATGTTAGCGTAGGTAGATTATGAAATCAGTTGCATTTTCCTATATACTGTGATGGATCTGACAGGGTTAGAAAAACAAAAAATATATATATATAAAGAAACCATAGCCTACATATCCATAGTTTTACGTGATGAAGCCACGCTGCATCTACAGCTGAGTAATGCTGCTGTGTCGTATCGCGAGTGTAGAGAACCGGCGACCTTTATTACTGGTAATGACGCATTCCATCTTAGTCATCAGGAGTGACAACGCGTCTGATTTTTGATTCTTAGTTGAGGGTATATTATAAATGTGACTTTGGGCCACACCATCCATTTACCATCAGGTGGACTATGTGTTCCAGACTGGTACGCATGGAAACGTAGGTACTAGGTATATATCTATAGGTATTTATCTATAATCTGCGTTATGATTCATAATCGATGATAGATGTAAGCAAATACAAAGAGTAGTTGTAGTTAGATTTCGCTATGTAACAGCGCGTGATAATTTACGGGGTGAGGGAGGTTAAGCCCCGCCCACTTTACTATCTACATCTACCGATAAATAGTAAAACTATTCGAATCGTTCCATATCTATGTTGCAATGTAGCTTAGCTACCTTGACGATAGATGGCGGCCTGTTCACAAAATGATTTTAAAAACTATAAAAATAATATTTTGGCGATTAAAAATTCTTTAGTACTGAATCCAAAACAAATTTCAGTACCTTCGTATTATTATTTTACCAATACTAAGCTCGACGTACGTTTATATTTTTAGTTCACATGACACAAAGTGTCGCTATCTAAGTGTCGAATATATTTAATTATATTTGAAAGCCGATGCAGAGATTTTTCTAGGACTATTTTAATAAATTAGGTGTAAAATTACTTACAAATGAAATGTGATGTTATCCATAGCATCAGAGCGTCTGAGTAGTTTTTACACGATAAAACACAACACTTCATCCTTTTCTTCTTAATACTACGAAAATACAGCGATTTGCGATTTTCAATACATAAGCGCACAGGACAAATGCTGACAGTATACTAACTAGAGCCACGCCCACTATGATGACGTCAGGACCTACTTAGAATCACAGTGCACAGTTGCTTATGCCGTTTCCTCTTTGTATTTGCTTCATGTAGATATCTATGGGCCCACAGCATCTACTTACCATCAGCTGAACTATGTGCTCGATCGGATTCTAATCCGATATTGGATTACCATCATACACAACTCGTAACGCAAGCATTTTAAAGGTTACTTGAAGTGCTTTACTGGAATATCAGTAATGTTTATAGCATTGCTAGTATTTAAAAAATAAAATAAAATTTACAATACAAAAAATCCGTTATTTAAATAAAATATAATTAAAAAAATTAATTACCCTTACTATTAAAAAAATGTCCACAAGTGTTTAATATTTTTTTTGTTTCTTTTAGGTGTTGCCACAGTTCGTGTTTAACTCCCGAGACCCCATCGTTATGGGTGTGATGGTGGAAGCTGGCATCGTGAAGGAGGGCACGCCCATCTGTGTGCCTAGCAAGGAAGTGAGTCATAACAAACATAATAATTTGCAATTTTACATTTCTATGATAACTGGCTGTGACTTAGAACTTAATAGCTTTTTTTCTACCGACTTCAAAAAGGAGGAGGTCCTCCTTGTGTGTTGTTGTGTGTTTGTGAGTGAGTGTGTTGAAGTGAGTTTTATTCAATTCGACTGTAAGTTTTATTGTTTTTTTATGTGTGTTACCTCATAACATTTTTCTTGGTGAACCGATTTCATTTGAAAGTTGATGCTCCTCACGTGGTCCGATATAAATTTGATCAAGATCTGACCAATAGTTTTTAGTTATCCTTAATTATTTATATTGAAGTCGGTTGTAGAAATTTTTTAATTTTACAACCTGTGACTTAATATAAGCCAGTGGTACATTACGACCCCACCTGTTTAATAGTCCTAAATAAATCGTCTTTTCTAATCGCAAGTAAGGCCTATTCACTCTTGCCTTGAGGACACCCATATTGTAATCGGTCGGATAAACAGACAGATTATTCCATAGCCTTGTTGTAATCCCTACGAAAGACGAAGCAAACTTTTAGTTTGGTGTGCCGGAATTAATATTTTATTTAATGATTATTAATATTTTATATACATAATTATTAATATTTAAACGTGCCAAAGAAACACTATAAGCTTTAGCACTTGTTTTCATACGAAATACGATACATTTTAGTCGGCACACTTGGTATTAATTATACATTTAGACGTTTTATTAATGTGTACAAAAGTCAAATAAACGATACATCACAAACAACCAAAATAATCCTTTTACTGTTTGTTGTTGACTTAGTAAACCGAAACAAAACCGCTATTTTCGTCACCTCTTGTATTATTGAAACTGCTTGCCGTTATCTAATATATAAAAATTACTGTTTGTTTATTCGTATTTTAGGCGCTGCCGTACCGTTCATCAGATCGCGGTAAAACTTTGTCAATTTGTTGCTTGCACTTGCGAGAAGGTTATAGACACAGTGCAATTAACTTTCACTAGATGGCGCGCGTATCGTATACGACTATTTATTTGAAGGTTATAGATCATTCAATTTCAATGATTGTGTTATCATTACTATTTAAAAAATATAACTTCCAAATTTAAAACGATATTTCCCCTAATTATTTCTTCTGCACCAGCAATGCGCCGGGTACTAGCTAGTTTAATATAAAATATAATCGACATTATTTCACTTTCTTATAGCACATCATAGTTTCAAATATGCGACTTACAATACCAAAGTAATAAGTAACATTATAGTATAAAATATAAGTGAACTTTATGTTGTGCAGTGAAGGATTATAGTCGTAAGGTTAGCAAATCGTAAGCATCGTGAAGTATAACTTTCTTATGATAGCAAAATAACAGGATAACAATTGCAAGTTAGATAGGCGTTCAATAATGAGTTATACATTGCGTAATAATAATCTATTACATTATTCGTTATCATAATAATGACCACCTACATTAGTCAACCAACAGAGTGTTCTGCGTGCATTAACATATTGTAGGAATATCATGACCGCGTCACTTAGCAGTCGGAGTTTCTGACTACTACGTCTCGGGTTCTGTGTTTGTGACCCAGTTGAGCTAAAATTTCTGCAAAAACAAATATTTGGTGTTCGGTTCTAATAGTGTTGAGATTGTCCTCGGATTTCTGATACTGTACCTTAGCCGGCCTCCAACCTTCATATCACATATATGTTATATCAAACACAGGCAGAAACACGAATGACACCTGTATTAACATACACTTTTGCTATAATACTTATCTCCTAGTCTTTCGATCATACTCATCTTTCATCTTGTTCATTAAATTTTATTTATTAAATATGTATTTATAATTTACTGGCTGGCCAGGCAGACGTTGTTTTGCCTTTTGCGGCGACCCTCTGTCCTATAAAAATCCTTAAATTCGCAATATAAAATATTGAAGGTCACTCAACCAAAAATGCACACAGTGCAAAATTTTATTCAAATCATTTCTGTAGTTTAGGAGTTTATCGCGGACAAACAACGTGACACGTAATTTTTAAATATAAAGATGTACTTGTGTATATAAGTGAAGTGTATTTGATTATTTGTTTCTTCATCGAAGTCTGAAACATTTTTTTCTTCCGAAATTGATTGGCAATGAATGATACAAGGTATTAAGTCCGTCCATTGTAGACCTTAAGATAACTACAACAACGGATAAATAAACAAAATTTTTTTTTATTGGATGGGGTGACAAACGAGCACACAGTCCACCTGATGGTAAGTGGTTACTGTAACCCATAGACATCTACATCTATCATCAATAAAGACTCAAGATGCAGATGCGTTATCACACGTGAGGACTAAGATAGAATGCCTCTTTGCCAGTAAAAAGGGTCTCCGGTTCTCTACACTCACCATACGAAACACAGCAGCGTTAAGCTGCTATTTTACGCTGGTTTTCTGTGAGAGCGTGGTCCTTCCCCGGTCGTGCCGACCCATTCGTGCTACAACTATACTACTAATACAGCTGCGGCATGGCTCTACTACGTAAAAAAAATATGTTGTCGTCACAATATAATAAAGAATGATATTTATAAATGTGTATTTTGTTGGAATGCATTGCTAAAATGAAACCTCTCCACCAGTTCGTGGAGCTGGGCCTGGTGACGTCGATCGAGGTGAACCACAAGCAGGTGGAGACCGCACGCAAGGGACAGGAGGTGTGCATCAAGATCGAACCCATACCCGGAGAGTCGCCCAAGATGTTCGGCCGGCACTTCGACGAGACTGATATGCTAGTCAGCAAGGTCGGTACATTAGTTTTCTACCTCTTGGAGTCATGTGATCCTGATTAGAAACATCTGGCAGCAATTATTGAAAACAAAAATAATTTAATTAATGCCAAAATCTAATAGGTACTTGGTTCGTTTTGAAATTTCCATCGCATCTTTATAGTTCCGGTTTTGGTTTGGTTTTTAAGTATGAGTTGATTCCATAATCAATGATTTTTACGGGTTCCATGTTGAGGGACGAAGATTTTTTTTCATAAAGTAAGAGTGATAAACGAGCACACCAAGTATCTGTTAGTAAGTGTAGACATGGAACGAGTAGTGATTCGCCGAGTACTCGGCCACTGGGTACTCGGCCTAGATTGGACCGAGTACTCGACCCGTAAAAATGCTGTAGCGGGCGACGTGCGGTTATTTCCCTTACAAACTAGACCCAAATAGGACCGAAAAACTAGCGTTTTTGCATCACAATCTTCCTCTCTTAAATTTTAAATATTAGTAATAATAATTTCCATTATAGATTCCTATGTATGTTCTAAATATTTCTGCTGCTTCTCATGTTTCCGTGAAAGCGCGTTCCTAGTGACGTGGTAGTGCTACAACCATAACTATGGTTATAGCACATACTCATATGGCTACATGCAACTGTTCGCCTGGCGGATGGATCTAGATTGGCCTACGACACTGGACCAGGCTGCATGTCGAGCACTCCGGATCTAAACCTAAATTTAGATCACGTTAGAGCTGTGTTTCTGTTTTGTTGTGTTTGTGTATTTTATATGAATTTAAGTAATTGTAATAATTTAATTTAAATAATTATTTTTTTATGTAATTCATATAAAATTGACATCATAACTTAGATTTAATATTTTAATTTCGATGTGTATTTATGAAGTGTGATATGGACTAGTTCCGAAATATTTTTTTTTATTTTTTTTTTAATAACTAAACTGCAGCATGGCTGTACCACTTATAAAATTGACGCGATGAACTTAAGAGACCCTGGTATTTTTTTTTAAATATTATTGTTATCGTTCAATATATAGCGAAATATGTAATTAATGTTTTCGCGTCATTTTTGTCTTTTACGACTATGACTTTTCAACTCAAACAAGTTACTGTTTAGCTGGTATCGGTAAATTAAATTACTCAAAGGTTATCTTAGGTTTTAATCCTGGTTCTAGTAAAAACACTAAATATCAGTTGTATATCGCTAGCAACGCAAAGTCGGGAATTTGCATTTGGAAAAATCCAAAATTAGGGGCTTTTTAGGTGCTAATTAGGTGCCAAGTTTAAAAATTAGGTGCTCTAAAATTTTCACCGCAACGAACTGTTGAAATTTGCGTTGCTAGCAAAACGTCTCGCTAGCAACGCAATGAATTTATTAGATATACGATAAATATTAATAGCAAGGAATTAAGTGCTAATTAGGTGCTGCAAGTATACGCAATAACAAGGCGCCCCTAATAAAAATAAAGTCGTTATTCAGAACATAGCAGATGCAAAATTCAGATTTCCTTAAAATCAAAATAGAATCAAAATTGCTTTCAGAAAAAGTCCAAATTAGGGGCTTTTTAGGTGCTAATTAAGTACCAAGTTTAAAAATTAGTTGCTCCAATATTTTCACCGCAACGAACCCTTGAAATTTGCGTTGCTGGCATCGTTAGCAACGCTGATGACGTTACTAGATATACGATAAATATTAATAGCAAGGAATTATGTGCTAATTAAGTGCTGCAGATCGATTATCGAAACCCGATACAGATTACGATATTATTCTGGGAATTATGGGGTCCACGACCACCATTACCTTACTATAATGTATGAACAGTATTTTTTGTTCTTTATCAGTTTATTTTAATTTATTTTATCAGTATTATTGAGGTCGCATGTAGATGACGGTAATATTCTGGAAATTAACGGATTTAAAACCACCATTACCTTACTATAAGGTATGAACGACATTTTTTGTTTTTCAGATTTAATATGATTATATTTGAAAATGGTTGAAAATTGGTTGAAAATTATATTAAATTATATTATACATTTATAATATTATTTAATATAATTTTCAACCAAATAAATGTTACAATTCTTATTTTTAGATTTGTGAAGCCTAAACTTTAGTGTACTCGAAAGGATATTTTCTTTCCAGTAAATTGCTTTGTAATAAATAGCGCCATCTGCAACGTTCTATAGTTCTAGTCATTTTATCAAATCAAAATCGATGAACTCTCAAGGTGGTAAGTAGGATAGACGCTAGATGGCACAAACCAAAAGACCTATTTTTTACGTGGTAGAGCCATGCTGCAGCTATGTTATGGTTGTAGCACGAATGGGTCGGCTCGACCGGGGAAGGACCGCGCTCTCACAGAATACCAGCGTAAAATAGCAGCTTAACGCTGCTGTGTTTCGTATGGTGAGTGTAGAGAACCGGAGATCCTTTTTACTGGAAACGAGGCATTCCATCTTAGTCCTTACGGGTGACAACGCATCTGCATTTTGATTCTTAATCGAAGATAGATGAAGATTTTATTAGGGGCGCCTTGTTACTGCGTATACTTGCAGCACCTAATTAGCACCTAATTCCTTGCTATTAATATTTATCGTATATCTAATAAATTCATTGCGTTGCTAGCGAGACGTTTTGCCAGCAACGCAAATTTCAACAGTTCGTTTCGGTGAAAATTTTAGAGCACCTAATTTTTAAACTTAGCACCTAATTAGCACCTAAAAAGCCCCTAATTTGGGATTTTTCCAAATGCAAATTCCCGACTTTGCGTTGCTAGCGATACACAACTCTAAATATCGGAGTCTTTTCAATCCTTTCTGGCTGATTTGGGCTAAGGTGACACAACATTCTATTAATATAGAACCGATATATAGGTAGTAATTAATACTGCAACTTTTTGCAATACGGTTGCAAACACTTGTGTCATAATAAAATAAAATATTTTTAATGAGCTGTTGAAGTTAATCTTTTTATAGTAATCAGGTAACTGTTATGATTGTAGTGATTAATTTAATTAGACTCCCATTTATTCTAAACTTCGTCGTGAAGACTACACTATACTTGGTAATTAACAATTATCCAATATCATTAGAGCCATGGTAGCTTGGAGCCCGAATATAATATGCGAGCAACACTAGTTAGAGCCCCACCGCGACCAATAAATAATTAATTGCAATGCTAAGTGCTGATTCACCACATGCTCTTAAATAATCTGTTATACTTAAAAAATCTTCAAGGACCTGTTTTGAAGTCCGCCTATACACACTGGATTAGCGCGACGGAAAAAAAACTACTCCATAACGCTTTTATAAATGAAAGAAAGTTTTGTCTTTTACTTTACTCTACTAGTTCAATAGTGCAAATAGAATTACTTATTATTAAAAACATCCATATACAGGTTTATTTTTAAAAAGAGTAGCCAAATTTTAAACTTAAGTTCAAATATATATATTGTATTGCTACTACTATATTCTGCTGCTTGCAGTTTTTGAAAATAGGAGTAAATAAGGCTTCTACATTTATTTGAAATTATCCCAAATTTAATATTATTTATGGGCAACAACGTTTTTGCCTACCGATCGACACTTATGAATGTGTGCGTGCGCAGTAAATCAATTAAAATAACGCATTTTGAATTTAAAAGATAAAAAGGATAGAATGTTTGAGATTTTTTAAATTAATTTTTGTTTACCATTACTTATTCTCAACCTTTGCAAATTTGGCCGGTTATTGCAAAATAACCCTGTATTGCGAGAAACAGGTTCGAACTTTATATTTTACCGGGGGTGAGGTAATTGTGAAACGCAGGGCCTAGCAGTGGATTGCCGAATGTTGGTTATTGGTATTGGTCTGTGACACGAAATTAAGGCTGATACAGATTTGAGAACTAACTTTCGTTGTCCAATTATTAAACATATACGAAGCCAAGATCAAGAATCAGCCGTTTGGTGGGCAAGAATAAAATTAAAACATATTGGACATTGCTTCTCATAGGATACGAACATGGTGTATTAATCGGTTGAGCGATATGTTTTTATATATTTTTAATTTAAGTTGCTTTATGATAAATTATTACATCAATTAATTTTCATTTGCTACTACACTGGCACTAGCTTTGGTTTCCGGTTTTATTTAAAGTTATATTTTTGTTATTAAAAATATTCAAATAAATTTTATTTCATTACGAATAACTATAACATCTTTCACTGATTACACTGATATTACTATAAAAATCACTAAAATCACTTCAATAGTTCATTAAAACTGTTTTATTTGATACGAGTATTTGCACCCGTATATTGCACAAAGTTGCAGTATTAGTTACTACCGGGGCTATATTAATAGAATGTTGTTTATTTAAAACAATTATAATTTACTAACTTGTGCATACGTTTTATTTTTTATAAAAGAAGCTTTTGCAAAATTAATTATACTCGGAAAGAAATGTTCATAACGATGTCAAAACTTTAAAATTTAGATTAATAAAGATTTGTTCATAAATTCATCCATCCATCAATCCATTACAGCCTATAAAAGTCCACTGCTGAATGTAGGCCTCCCTCATAGATTGCCTATTGCTTGGCAAGCGGGTTGGCAACCGCAGTTTTTTTTAATGAATTGTTGTGAGGGAGATGCTGCTGTCCATCTCCTGTTTCACTTTCACTCTGTCGCCTTTTAAGACACCTTCGGGACGATCTGGGGTAGTGGATATTCTCACACCGGGGGCTAACGACCATGCGGCTCACCTGATGGTAAGTGACTACCGCCGCCCATGAACAACTGGAACACCAGGGAAATCGCAGATCTTTTCTTGAAGGTCCCTAAGTCGTATCGGTCCGGAAAATTCGCTGGTGGTAATCAATTCCACAAGAAAGTTGTGCGAAGGAGAAAACTTTTTCTAAATCGCACAGTGGTGGACCGCCAATCATCCAAATGATATGGATGGAATCGTGAGTTTTGTCGCGATGTGCGATGGTGAAATTGAGCGGCTGGAATTAGTCCGAAC